GGGGGTCTCCTCACAGTGGAGCCTTTCGGATCACATTCCCTTCTCACTACCAAGCCCCGCGCTTTCAGGTTAAGGGAGAAGTGTTGCTAGAGAAGCAGCCCCCCTTCCCGCACTTCCCAGCTCACTCCTTCCCCGGGTGCCTCCCCCGAGCTGAGCTGCGGGGAGGGCGGGGAGGGGGAGCCAATCCCGGCAGTGCCGAAGGGGGAGGCAGCGGTGACAGCCTCGAGGAGGGGGCGGGAGGAGAGGCGGCTTGGCTCAGGCTCTGTGCTCAGCTCCACTTGAGCTCCGGGTCTGCGCTCACCTGCTACCCAAGCCTTCCGCTACCCCCGGTGAACCTTGGACCCCCTCCTCTGCCCCAAACTCAGCCCCAACCCGAACTCTCCCAACCCTCAGTCCCAGCCCCGACTGCGCGCTACGCCACCAGGGGGCGCCGTGTGAGCACCCGGCCCCGGCCACCCGGCACCCCCTCCCCCTGGTCCAGGCGGGACGGGAGGGGGTTGCCGGGGGCCATGCGGGGCCAGGGCCGCAAAGAGAGTTTGTCCGATTCCCGAGACCTAGACGGCTCCTACGACCAGCTCACAGGTAATTTGGTGGCTTGTGGGGGGGGGGGCGGTCCCGGGAGGGAGGATGGGTTCCATCCCCCCAGACCCTTATGCCTCTAACCCAGCTAGCCCACTCCCTCCCACCCATACTCAGGTCCATCCCCAGGCCCCATCCAAGTTGATCTGGACAGCAGGACACTGGGGTTCAAGCCTCGGTCCTGTGAGGGTAGGGGGACAGGTGGGAGAGGCAGCAGGTGTGGACATGTGTGACACAGGCTTGGAAGGGTGTCTGGAGTGGGAGGTGTTACGTGTTTGAGTGCGTGTCATTCTTTGTGTGTGTATGTGTGTGCACCTCCCATCTGGTTGCCATGTGCCCTGGCCTTGGTGACAGCCAGGGCGAATGTGGTTACATGTGACCGACTGCGTGTTGCCATGCAATTGTGTGATCTTATCAGATGTTTGAGTGAGATTTTGTAGGATTCTGATTGTACAGAAGAGGGGTTTTGACCATGTATCTCTGTTGTATGTAAAACTATGTGCTTTGAGTGTGATTCTGTATGAAGTGGCATGTGACTAATGGAATGTGTCAGAGCTCCACTTTATGGTGGTGAGTCTCTTTATAAGACTTAATGACTGTGAACCTACTGAGGTGACCTTTGTTAAGGTGTGTTGTGTTTTCTTTTGTGATTATGAGACTAAGTGGGTTATATTGGCACTGGATGCTAATTGTGTACTTTTGTGTGGTGAGGTCTGCATTAGGATTCTGAATATCCATGACAGATCTTTGCTGCCTCTCTGGATTCCAGGTGCAGATGGGGGGTGGTCTTTATTGAACCACACTGCTTACCTAAATTTTCCACAAATAGCTCAGATGGGAACTTGGAGGGTCTCCAGTGTCCAGCTGTCCACCCTGACTCCCAAGAGCACCCTATAGTCCCAGAGCCTGGCCTACTGTAGGGAGGCTTTCGTTAAGTAATGGGTCAACCCTCCAAAAAAATACTCAGATCATTCTTAACAACTGAAGTTCCTCACCTTCCAACAACCCTTCCAGAACTTCACCCAACCCTGAGGAAAGCACATCTTTTTGCTTCCCCTTCAGATCTAGAGGTAGCTCTAGGCCTGGTGAGGTACATTATTGCCTCTCCTTATGTGCCCCCCAAACCACTTGACTGCCATGGCACCTCTGTTTCTTCTGTGGGGAACTCTGTTAGAACTGTACATTGTGCAAGTGTATATGCCTGGGTTTGGCAGGTGGCTCCATGTGTTTGTGTAGGTGAATGTGTCACCCTGTATATATTTCCATGTATGTGTTTGTTTATGTCTCATTGTTCAGCCTATCCAAGAACTCCATGTAACCCCTGTGGATGAAACAAAGCTTGGGGTAGGCTGTGATCCTTGTCCTTCCTGAGGGGAATGAAATTAAGATTTGGGAATAGAAGAGGGGATTAGAATATGGTGCCTGGAGACTTGGCCCTGGGGAGGACCTAGTCACTGTGCCAAGGCTCCCAGAAGGGAACTCTGCTTCTAGTCCCAAGATATGGAAGACCAGATTGCTGTGCTTCAATCTAGATGGAATCCAGTTCAGCTGTCCATTCTGCTCTGCTGTTCCTACCACCAGCTTAGGATCCCTGAGTACTGAGCCCCACCCCCAAATCATGAATACCTCATTAATTAATCAGTGTTTGCTTTCTGCTTTAATTGATCCTCCCCATTAGTGGAATCATCCCCTCCCTACTTGTGTATTTGATACTTTGATTGAGTGGGAATGGGTAAGCACTCGGAAGGTACACTGCCTCAGGATTTGGAAATGGGAGTGTGAGTTCCAGCTCTGGATGATTTTTTCCTGTCTGGACCTCACTTTTCTCATGTATAAAATGGAGCATACTACTTAATGCATGCCTGCTCCCAAGGGCAATAGAAGGGTGAAATGTTGGTGTCAAGAACTGTGATTCATCTTCAGCATCCTAGCTGTAGATGGCTCACACAAAACATGGAAAATAAAAATAGGGCTAGCTGGGACTTTCTTCTCAAAAGAGGGCTTATCCAATAACAGCGGGTGAATTGGGATGAGATGCCAAAGTAATGGAGAACTCCAGGGCCAGGAGGGAGGGCTGGTGGTACTTGGCACAAACTAGGAGTCATTGTCTGAGGTGCTGAAGCTTGCTCTGGGTGGAGGTCCTGTCTGGGCCTTCTGAATTCCCAAATGAACCAACAGTCAATAAATAAAGTGACACTTTATATTGGGCAAATCTGCTTCAAAAGATTTAGTGTTAAAGAACGTTTCTTTAAAGTGTTAAAGAACAAAGACGTCACTTTAAGGACTGAGTTGCACCTCCCCAAGGCAGATTAAGTTTCACTTGAACCAAACCATGGTATTTTCAGTCACCTCTTATGCCTGTGAAAGCTGGAATAGGAATAAGGAAGACCAAAGAATTGATCCCTTTGAATTATAGTTGTTGTTAAGTGCCTTCGAGAATTATGGTAGTGGTGAAGAATAGTGCATATACCATGGACTTCCAGAAAAATGGCCAGCTTTCTCTTGGAAGAAGTACAGCCAGCATGCCCTTTAGAAGGGAGGATGGTCTCATGCATGTACTTTGGATATGTTACCAGGAGTGATTAGATCCTGGAGAAACACATCATACTTGGTAATTGTTATGTACTGTGGAGTCAGTTCCAACTCATAGCGACCCTGTACAGGGTTTCAGAGGCTGTAAATCTTTATGGGAGCAACAAGCCTCATCTTTCTCCCACAGAGCAGCTGGTAGTTTTGAACTGCTGCCCCTGATGTTCACAGCCGGATTCGTAACTACTATGCTACCAGAGCTGCTTATACTTGGTAGAGAGTCAGGGAAAAAGAGGAAGCTCCTCAACTAGATGGATTAACACAGTGGTTTAATAGTGGGCTCAAACATAGCCATGATTGTGAGGATGGCGCAGGACCACGCATTGTTTAGTTTATTGTGCTTAGGATCCTTAACAACGACAAGAGTCGCTGTCCTCAGTGCTGAAGTTAGCGCAGAGTCCGAGTTTCTGAGTTTCCAAAGTTCTGCTCCCTTCCTGCCTAATTCAAGTAGAATTCCCGGGGACCGGAGACGAAGTGTTCTCTAGCAACCACCCATTGGGATGACAGGGAGGACATTCTAGGTCCACTGACCGCCTCCCTCCACTATTCCAACCCCAAGCTTTAAACAAAGTTGAAGAGGCTTTTTGAGGGGAAAATTCCGAGCTGCCAGCAACCCCCTCTAGCTCCCCCTACCACACCCCGCCATCTCCTTCAGTTTTCCCAGCCCGGCGAGGCGTCTGGGCAGTGCAGTGGAATGGGGGAAAACAGCGTACAGCGGCAACCCTGTTCCGGCCGGAAGTAGAGAAAACACCTGGTTGTTAAAGACTGTGTCTAGGTCCCCGGCCCGGGACCTCCGGAGTCCGGTCCTTAAGGTCTTGAGTATTGTTCCCAGGACTTGGGCGCCCTCATGTGGCTTAGGGAAGCCCTGAGTAGAAAGCTGTCGTCAAGTTAAGTGGGCAAGATTTGAATGTCAGAGTTAAGAGGGGACTTCTACCTGGTAAATTTAGTTTTCAGCCACAACCATGGGATCGATCCAGTGGGGGGAGTGGAACTGTGTCCTCTGTCTTGCAGGCTCTCCGAAGAGTGTGAAGAAGCTCGAGGGTCCTGGAAGGGTTTCAATCCGATGAGCCCAGGAAAGCGGTTAGGGTAGGTGAAGGGACTGAGTGAGGCGGGTCCTTGGTGCATTTGGCTGGCAGCCAGTGTATTATGGTAGGGTCTTTGAAGCCGCTGGGACCGAACAGAGACAAGCATAAACAATTATGAGATTTGGAACCGGAAGATCCAGTAGGGGCACACCCCTGCCGCCTCTTCTTTGCCACCTCTATATACTGACCTTTTCATCCTCTTCCATCCTGCACTCCCATTGGTACAGAAAGTATAGAAGCGTGGAGGGGTTGCCATGACAACTATGTCCTTTTTACCCCTTTACATCTGTGCCAAAATGATGGGTGAAGAGTGACAGCAGGAGGAGAGAGGGACTGAAGAGGGACAATAAATGCTAAAAATTATATCTATAGCTTTTTTTTTCAATCCCGATCAGCTCCCCTTACCTGCCAGAAATTCAGAAAACGTTCCCAGAGAAGGTTATGAGGAGAGTTCACCATTCCCGTGCCTCCCACCCTAGTCTGGGAACATTGGGGGTGGGCATTTCAAACGATGGGGCCAGGGTGAAACCCCTACTACAGCCAGGAACGGCTCCAAGGTGTGCAAGCCTGGTCTTGCCTCTCCAGCCCTCGGCTCCGCCCACGCAGAGCCCACTCTGATGGGGGCGGAGACCAGACCGCCCCCAGGTCTTGAGGGCGGAGCATGACTACAGTGCTCACTGCTGAACCATGAACCGATGCCCCCGCAGGTGCCGGAGCCCTTTGGGGCAGGCAGCGCGATCTCTCTACCAGTTGGTGACTGGGTCGCTGTCTCCAGGTATGAAGAAGTGGGGGAGGGGCAGGATCCCCGAAATAATGGGCCAAGTGAAATAGGAGCCTTAGAGATAGGGGAAGAAAAGACCCTTCGCAGAGATGGGGAGAGAACACAATCCCACAAAGAACCTTACAGAAGGGAGAGAGGAGCCAGGACTCTTCAGAGAAGAAGGGGCAGGGTCTCTCACAGTAGTGGAAGATGGAGTAGAGCTTCTCATGGAAGGCTGAGGAGACTCAAGCAGGCGGAATTAAGAGGGTAGAGCCCTTCACAGGGATGAGAGAAGGAAAGTTGCAGCAGAGCAGGAAGAAAGCACATTGCTTAGGGTAAGGGGACCTTAGGATGACTGGAATCAGTATCCAGAAGGAAGAGATCCTGAAATGGAACTGAACCAATATGAACTCAGCTAGCGAGTTCTTAGGGGACTGGCTGAATAGACTGCATGGCATAAGGAATGTCATTGTTTTGCCTATTTCTGGGAGTCTGGATGAATGGGGTTGTGCATTACTGGGGCTGTGCATCCCTGAGAGTGCATAATCCTGGGGGTTCTGTGGCCCTGA